CTTGCTATGACCGCTCTCTATGACTTACCCTGTTACGTGGATTCTCGGAGTGTTCGTCGAGTGAATATACAATTGGACCACAGTATTTCGCAGATCCCTCACAAACAGTGAGGGGATCGAGGCTACCTTACCTCACAATGATCATATTAAAGTAACCATCGCCCTTGTAGTAGGAAGGCTTTTCGTAAGATGAATATTTATACTATCGAGCCCGCACGAAAATGATCTATGTATAAGTCACCCAAGGCTCAAGCAGATCTTCAGGATTTTAGAATTCCAGCCTACATCGTTGCCATTACATTATGCGCATCCCGAATGGTTCACAGGGTCAGCATCTTAATGAAGTCAAAATCAAATGGCCGAAGCTCAATACAACAATCACGGTGAAAATTAATGATGCAAACCCAACACTAGTTGGCTTACTTGAAACTGCCCTACCCTATCGCTCCCTCCAAACACATGCCGTTGTTGCCGGCGACCAGCTATATCACTTGATTCCGTCAGAACAACTGATTGTGAGTGGCTTATGTCACAAAGAGAGCCATCTTACTAACTGCGCAAAGTATACACCTGCCGACAAGAAGGCTCCTGATAGGGCGAAAGAGCCTGACGGCTCGGTATTTCTCTCGTCATTCCAGCACTTTGTGATCAAGTATGGTGAGGTAACCGAGCACCAGCCGGTGGCTACTTGTGGGAAGGTTATTGATGAAGATATGGATAAATTGCGCTGGGTTGCGGATGAAGTTTGGAAATTTCAATGCGAAACAAGAAAGCACCCTACTGAGGTAGTTCTATGGGATGCTTCAAAGCCGGAGCCTGATCCCAATAAGCTGGACCTTTTCAGACATCAGAGGGCTGGTGTGAGTAAGGAGGTAAGGAAGCTCGTCGATGAGATTCATACCGAGGTATGTACCTGATGGTTTTGATTGGTGACAACTGGCTAAAGAAATTGACACAGACGCAAAAGTGTTGGTCGGATATTTCCGAGGACATTGAAAAGATTCACTGTGGTAAGGCACCAGAAAGGCCTGGGTCAAAGGAGTCATACTTTGGTGCCATGGTGTTTTCTAACAGTGTGATACGAACACTTGGATATCATGTTCTCGACAACATCATAAAACTGGCGTTTACGCGTCCTGAATTTACCTTGAGGCATCTGATTGTGCTTTTCCGGGATTTCGTTCCATCAATTGCCGATTTTGTTGGCCATCTAGGAGCAGCATACGTCAATGACAGTTACGAGAGCATTGAAAAGCTCATCAAAGAGAAGGTTGAGAAAAACCCCAATCAGGAGGAGGCACGTGAGGACTTCCTTGCAATGGTCAGCGCATTGAGCTTCTATGTTAATCTCCTCAACGCCCAAAATCTCCACATGTTTCCCTGGAGGCACGCGAAAGAATACCAAACTGAGTCATAGGGAGCCATGGCTCTTCACACTATTTTACTAAAGATTGCACTAACGGGTTCTATTATTGGTTGATTTTGATGTTTGTTCCCTATAAAACCTAATGCCCTTCTCTCACGTTATCCCCACAGCAGCGTATTATCAAACCCAATTTACCGTGATATGGGATATGGCGGCAGAAGTAGCGAAATGAATATTAAGATCAGATCAATTTCAATACTTAGATTTTACTTTCGCTTGTTAAAACAAATTATCTTACATTGCCCACTGAGAACCCCAGTATACTTTGAAGGAGCCAAGATGTAATTCATCTCACACCGTTGGGTCATATCAATTCGTGACCCTTACGAGAGGCAAAGAGACTTTTTCATCATCGAAAGTCATCCAAAGTAGACGAAAGAAAGGCATTTTAAACCTTCTGCCATATCCGCCTATATTGAATGATCTACGTTCGTTGCATTCAGTGAATCTCGTGGACTAAAGCTAAACGGCGATATTTGGAGATTCGTCCATGACGTGTAAGCTTTACACCTCGAAATATTCGCCAAACCAAGGAAGATCTTGCTGAATGTTGGTTTGTGTAATACATGAGTACAATCCTGATTTAGACGAAACTCAATATCATTGAGTCTAGGTCAGCCGACTTGAAGTTTATTGCGATTGATACGAGCACGAAGCTTTTAACTGCGGTTGATTCAAGTAAGAAAATAGTCCTGGATCAAGATAATAGCAGCATATTCTGTATTTAGTACACCTAATTCGGATATTTTCGGAAATCGCTTCCCATGTCTTTAGCTTCCTTAGGAAAATAGATGTCTCAATCGGGGAGGACGAACCATCGTAAGCTAAAGTTAGACCTGCATATGGAGAAACCCAAATCCTGGGCATATATCTCTGAGCACTGGGTACATGAACTATACTGCCATCTCAAATGGGGAATGGGGTTTAAGGGTCAAGTATCTTGACCTTATCAGAGGAAGAGCATAGAGGTGAATACCGCAACCGGATGAGTCATACTTACAAGCACCTTTCTCCAATAAAGACAAGCATTCAGTGACGCAGGAGGCGTATTGGAATAATTTGTATCTGTATTGGATAAGTGTCGCCGTCACATAGAAAGTCTGTTTCCCCTTACAGCCATCCTTTATTCCCCTCGGCCCATTGTACTGTTGAACGGTAGCATTCGCCTCAGTTTTGCTCCACTAAAATCCTTGCCTGAGCTCATCAATTTTCCCTGTTCTATGCTTTGTTTAAGGCTGCGCGTCCGAACATGCGCTATTTACTATGGTAACGGTTCAAGTTTCCAAATATGCCGGTTGGTGGCAACTCCAAGATAAGGCTCAGGCTTAAACAGATCGTCATATCAACATCGCCATCCTGGTATAGAGCTGTCTGTCTACAAATTAACTCAATTTCTCCTGTAGAACTAGTGCACTGGATAACAAGCAGTTTTTGGGATTGTAGCACCTGCTAGCTGTCGGAACCATGCATATTATCTGGCGCGACACGGCAGAAGAAGCCGACTATGAAGCCGCACGCCTCCGAGGGATATTCACTAAAGACATACCACCATATTACCCATTAGCTATCGTCCATGCCAGAACAACGAATGACGTAATAAAGACCATCAATCTAGCGAAACAGAAAAATTGCCAGGTGGCAGTGCGTGCCGGAGGACATTCGCATCCTGTCTGGAGCCTTCATCCGAACTCCATCTTGCTTAACCTGGGCTACTGGAAGGAGCTGGACATCGACAATGAGACGAAGATTGTCCGAGCAACCCCTGCTGTAACAAGTGGGGAGATCAGTAAGTATTTGAATAAACGCGGCCTGTTCTTCACTGCTGCGCATCATCCGGATGTCGGTCTGGGTGGGTATATGCTACAGGGCGGTTCGGGATGGAATTATCGGGTAAGAACTCAATCCTATCATGTTTCCAATTTCCGCTAATGGATATAGAGGTTGGGCTGGGCCTGTGAAAGCCTTGAGGCAGTTGAAGTTGTGACTGCAAATGGCAAGCTTCTTCTTTGCAATCGTTTGCAGAACCAGGAACTCTACTGGGCGGCGAGGGGTGCAGGACCGGGTGGGTTACGCTTGTCACTAGTTGAGATCGTGGGCTCATTTCCTTTCTAGCTTTTCCAGGCGTCGTGACAAATTTTTACCTACAAGCATCACCTTTCCACGCAGAAGGTGTTCGCTCCTCCGGATACGTCTACCCTAGCCACCGGTATCGCGAGATCTTCACCTGGGCGCAATCGATGGTATCGAAAACGTCTCCCGATATCGATATACTGCTGAGGGCCATGCATTCGGAGTCAGATGACGATATACGCTTGACAGTGCAATTCTTTGCGATGGAGAAGTCATGCTCCGACGCTGAACAGGCTCTTAGTATTGTCGATGAAGCACGGCCTTCGGGTGCCATTAGCGAATGGTTCTGTGAGAAAGACAGTCTCAAGAGCCAATTTGCAGCGATCAAGAAAAGTAGCCCGCCTGGATATTATTACGTCACCGATAATGTCTTATTAAATAACGACTGTGACGCTATATCTGTACTTCAGGAAGCATTTTTGACGTTGCCACAAAGCAAGTCATGGGCTGGCTGGACGCCCAGGTATCCAAGCAGTGACCACGAGGTAGCCGGTATGGCAAAAGGGATACAGGCAAACCATTATTTTGTGATTCATCTAATCTGCGAGGATGCTGTCAGTGCCAAGCAGTATAAGAAGCGTCTGCAGGATATAATGCAGAGAATACGGCCAAGCATAGTCGGTCACTACTTGGGTGACTCAGATCTGAACCAGGATCCGAAGTGGTACTGGGGTGAAGAGAACAGTAAACGTCTGATGATAATTCGACACCACTGGGACCCGGATGGATTGTTCGCAGCTACGCATAATGGACCAATGTGAGATGAAGTGAGTGGACAGTGCAAGGGTTCTATTTGAGCTTATACAGACTATTTTGAACATAAAAGCAGAAGTAATTTCTTTGCGGTCACCCACTAGCCTACTGCTCTAAGCGCGGATAGAAGTAGGGTAGCTGCAGCACCGGTCGAGCCAGTGGGTACGGGCTGGGAGTACCAAAGATCAGTGGGCACTCCGGCGGAGGGATTGTATATGAAATCGATCATAAACCCTGCACAAGATCTTATCATCATATAATAGTGCTTTGGTCTCTTTTCACGAGTGATTGTCAGGTATCTCGTACCTATTGAAGGGGTGCCATTGATTCCTCAATTCCAGGAGCAATGGTATCCCGCACGTTCAACTCTTCAATATCAAATAATATGAGTGCCCATGACGCTCAAAGGTTTGCCCTGATAGATCAACAATATGAAGAGAATGATTTACATTAAGTAATACCTGAAATTTGCCGATTACACACAATGTCCGCGGGATAAGCAAGATGGCCGGTGCACCCACCCGCCACCGCCGGCCTACCCACCCTGCCGGCGTGATTTCAAAGCAACAACTTTGAGAATGTCAAGAACGGCCTATAAATTGAGTAGTAATAGGTAAATTGTCCACACAAAAACACGCAGTATTCTGCATTCTGTGGAGAGTTAAACCCCTTGTCTAGAAGCTAGATCGATATGGTTAAAACTCGCCAATGGGTCCTTCAAAAAAGGGCGACGGACCTACCCTTTCTTCATGGACCTGACGCTACTTTCGCACTCATTGAAGCCGATTCCGGTGCACCACAGAATGGCGAGGTTCTTATCAAAACGCTGTATTTCTCAAACGACCCCTCTCAGCGTGGCTGGATCGATGCCAATACAGAAAACGAACGCCTTTATGTTCCCCAGCTTCCCGAAGGAGAGCCTATGCGAGCATTTGCCATTGCAGAAATTGTCGAAACCAAGGCCGACACCCTAAGAAAGGGCGACGTGGTCCGGGCGTGGACCAGGTGGTCGGAGTATGCGGTAGTGGACGCGCGACTGTGCACCAAACTCCCGCGACTGCTTAACGAACTTAGCGTAACACATCATCTTGGTGCTCTTGGAATTACAGGCCTAACGGCCTACTTTGGAATCAATGACATCGCCCAAGCGACCAAAGATGATATAGTCGTCGTGTCTGGTGCGGCAGGTGCAACCGGAAGCATGGTTGTGCAGCTTGCCAAAAAGGTCATTGGCTGCAAAATAGTCATTGGCATAGCAGGGTCCGATTCGAAGTGCAGATGGGTGGAATCGCTGGGCGCAGATGTCTGCTTGAACTACAGATCACCAAACTTTGCTCAGAATCTGGTGAAGGAGACACCGGACTTTGTCAATGTTTACTTTGACAATGTTGGTGGAGATATTCTGGATCTGATGCTCACTCGCATGGCTCGATTTGGCCGCATCGCAGCATGTGGCGCAATTGCCAACTACAACAAATCCGACAATGACAGCATCGGCATCAAAAATTGGTTTGAAATTGTCAGTATGACGGTTACTATTAAAGGTTTCCGCGTAATGGATTATGCGGCCTGCTTTGAGCAGGCTCTTCAGGTACTCCTGAAGGCTCTGGAGGATGGGAAGCTCAAGATCGATTCCGAGGTAGAACAGGTGATTGAGGGCCGTTTTGAGGATATCCCAGGGATTTGGATGAAGCTTTTCACGGGAGCCAACCAACTGAAGGAAAATTGATCACTAAATTTTAAGTTCCCACCTAGCTACGAGTATTATTAGCTATGAAATATATCTACTGAGTTCCACAATCATATAATATCTACAAGTAGTATTTTCTGTTAGCTTTAATTTGTGCGAATTTTGGATGTGGCACTCAGAAGACTAAGTGTTAGAATCTCCATCAGACCACCCCCCTTTCTAATGACGTATCGTCGGATAAAGTACCGGTGGCTGATATTGGGCGTCACGATGCCCCGACTCGAGAAGCTCGGCTCTCGTTCATTTTTGTCGCGCATGACTTTGTCAGCCACACTCGCAATAGGAACAAAACTACTAACCGAACCAAAAACTACTTCGGAAATTATTGTAATAACGAACGATCTGAATTTGATCTTTGGAAGTCAAGTCGAGAGTTAAGAAGGTGAATGCCAATTAGAAAGGAACCTCGAAAAGCAGCCATCGGCTTGTTACATGAAACCAACATAATCCGTCTCCCTCATGTAGCGTTCAATATCCATGAGTTTGTCCATCTCCACTCCCGCTTCTTGGGGTTCCTTAACATTTGGATCACCTCCTGCCCACCCATACTTTGAGACATACTGCTTGCTATCGTACATTTCTCTCGCCAACCAATCAGGGACTCCAGTAGAATCGAACTCTTTGTCCACTTGCACCACAAGTCTAACTCCTTTGACCTCGGCCCATAGCTTCCAGTAATCCTGGTAACGCATGAGTCGGCTGCATCCCAGAATCGCAGTGCCGGGTGGGGCGCGTATGAGAGCTTTAACGAAGTAGCCCGTATCGTGCTGAGCATGGACCCAAGGGATTGGGTGGTCACCATAGTCTGCAGTGACATGCAGGACATAAGTATCATCTGATTGCTTCTCCGGTCTCTGCATCGGGTTCCACCAGTTACTGAGATAGACTCCAATATGAAAATAGCTCGTCTTCGCTGCTAGAGCTGGGTATGTTTGCTGCATGTACTCGGTGTACTGAGCTTTGCCATCGAAGTGGAGGTTCCAGAGGATTTCACCATTACTCCACTTCTTGCTGTTGCTCAGGATGGACAACACGAGTCGGTCTAGAGTTGACACATGCTTGGCGGCAGCGGTGACGATGTTCTTCCCTTGCTGGACTTCGCGCTCAAAGGCGATCTCATTGACTTGCTTCCCCCTTGTTTTGGCTTCGGCGATTACCTGTGGGTCTCTGACGAACTGCCTGTATTGAGAATAAAACTGTCAGTAATCTTCGAAGCACATAATAATACGGTTTCAGCCTCGTACCAAAAGTCAGTGGTTCCAAAGATAGCGTTAGCTCCATTAAAAGCCCTGTCTAGGGAGTCCACGTCGTCGTAATCGCCGGCCACGAGCTCAATCCCAGCCTCGCGCAGAGAGGCATTAGCAGGCTTATCCGGATGGCGAGTAATGCCCCGAACGCGCCAGCTTGGGTCTTGGGCGAACAAACGAGCAACGGAGCCGCCCTGAACGCCGGTGACGCCGGTAACGACAATCAACTTGGTAGACATGGGAAGAGGTGAAAGAGTAATTGATGAGTCGAATAGATGTTCTGCAGGCTTAGAATACGATAGTCTTGTATTTCTGCGATATTATAGTCACTATATGTAATCCAGTGGTATCATACAACAAAATCTCTCCACATTGTTAATCATTGTTAATCATTCTTAATCAGCTGGGTCGACTGCCGAGGCAAGCGAGCTCCACAGAGAGAGTGATGGGGGGCTCTCCGGTGGGCGTTGCGGTGGGCTCACCGATCAGTGCATATGCTCTAGAAATAAGTTGCATATCTGAATGCACAATAACCTAGGTTTCTCAACCACAACATAAAATCTGACATTGGTAACCAACCGCTACCATCTGGAAAATTTTTAAGTTTTTGTGCAGGTTGCTTACGTAATGTAGCAAGGCCTAACATCACAATTTCTACTACACCAAGCATTCAAATGCAGTACTGGGGATTATATTCTGGCCTGAGGTAAACACGGCCTGAGTTGCTTTCTCAGCATTGATACATGTCGACTAGTTAGTGATACACTTCGGCAACATCCGCAGGCAATGCATGGTGTAGAGGAGCACGACCTTGAGATTTTGGCATTTTATCCCACCCCTAAACATGATGGATATTGTCTCGCCAATGTCAGAGTGGACTGGGAAAAACCGATTAACAGCATCTGAGCAATATGATATATTTTAGGACATGCATAATAAGCAATCAAACGTAGTATGGGTAGGGGTATAAATCGTACTGGTGCGATACAAAACCAGACGGTAGGTGAGGTTTAGACAGCACTGGGACCTGGATGGACTTTTTGCAGCCACGCATAACGACCTGACATACGTTTGGAGTATACAGAAAGGCAACATTTGATTACAGAGCATAAGTAAAAGAGAGGCATAAAAACATACAACAGAAGGGATTCGCTGGTGGTCACCCACCCAACTACTAACCTCCCGGCGTGTGGCTTAAGTACGGCTGAGCGGACGGGAAGCCCTGTTTTCCACACCCTGTGGTCGTATGTACCAGATGTGCTAATGAAATGGCTTATATGATGATGTTTAAAGTTGTTCTTGCTCTTTGCTGCGAAATGGATCTTGCCTCTTGAGGGTTCATCTCCAGAGGCAGGCATATGGGTAGGATTCCCTCATCGGCTACAACCTCCCCAGTATGTGGGTGGTCTACCACTTACCTTCAACCAATTCTTTATGTACATCTCGAATGGCTCTTTTTACAACATCGTCTCTGATTTAAATCATACCTGATGCTCCTGGTTGATCCATATCATATTCCGGTAATGTTGGCGATGTAGGCATAGTACTGTCTAAGTTGGGAGAGAACTTATATATTTTGGAGCTTCGTATGCTAAGTTATAGCTGCACATGAATGTACTAAGTACGCCAACCAAGTATTCCGTATCAATGAATTTCTAATATCAATCTTCGGACCTCTGTTATATCATTGTCTATTAGCTTCTCTACTGTCTTATCCAACCGGGAAATATGCAAGAGTGCGATCAACGGTACAACATAGTAAGAATTCCTGTCTTGTAATCTTCTCAGTCGCGGTTAAGTCATCAACATCAGCAGTACAAATCACACAATATTACGCTTTCACAACGGATAACTTCGACAGTATCCAAAAGTTTCATATTTATACAACACAAGAACTAAGTTTCATATCGTACAAAGAGTGATTATATCCCCGACTTACTCACAATAAGCTCAGCCACCGCCCCCAACGTACCCGTAGACAAAAGCTCTAAAACCTGCACATTAGCCCTCGCCTCACGTGCAATCCAGCTCCGAAGCTCAATAGCAACCAGCGAGTCAAGACCCAGTGCAGACACAGAAAGCGATGGCTCGATGTCCTCTGGGTTCAAGACCAGTACCTGAGCCAGCTTGGCCGCCAAAGCTTCGTAGCACACCCGCACTTTCTCTTCCTTAGAGGCAGCATTGGTGAGTTGCACGTGGAGGGGTTGAGAAATTCCCTCATCGGTTACATCTTCCTCACCTCCGCGGGTCTTGGGGGTCAAGAGCTCAAATTTGGCGTCTTGCGGCCAGAGGGGTTGTCGTGTCGAAGACGCCAATCCGGTAATTGCCAGATGGGCAAGGTCTCCCGTCACAGCCGCAGCGAGCAGGGCCAACACTTCCGACTCGGTCATGCCCTCCGTGCCGATGGTGCGGAGGACCTCTGCCCGGCGTGCGGCGTCTACCGTGGCGAGATAGCCTGCGTCCCTTACCGCCGTAAGGGCAAGGCTTGTGCCGGGGAGACCTTGGCTGCGGCGCCATTCCATGAAGCCGTCTAGGAATACGTTGGCGGCGGCGTAGGCCGCTTGTCCCTTGTTACCGACTACACCAGAGACAGAGGAGAGGGCAACGAAGAAGTCAAGGGGGTAGGAGGTGAGGGCGTGATGGAGGTTCCAGGCTCCCGTGACTTTGCTGTCCGTCACTGCCCGGAAATCCGCGAAGTGCATGTTCTCGAAGATCATATCCTAGAAAATGTCAATTTGAATTTTGAAGAAATCCTGGTAAGAGAAGCCTTACCCGTAGAACCATTGCACCGTGGATGACGCCGCGAATTGGAGGAAGGTTTTTCAGGTCCTTCAGCATGGCATCGACGGACGTGCGATTGCTCACGTCGCAAGCCTTCACCACAATGTTTGTGCCGCTGGGATGCAGAGCATCTATTAATGTCTGTACAGGGATGTCGACAATGCCGCGTCGGGACGCAAGCACAATATTGCGAGCGCCCTTTTGTGACATCCACCTCGCTATGCTTCGGCCGAGACCACCAGTACCCCCAATAACAACGTACGTGGCATCTGCCATGAGGATATCATCGCGTGTCTTAGCGACCACAGCTCTGACCTGATCGCCTTGTCTCGGGACTACCACAGTTTTACCCATCGACTTTCCAGTCTGCAAAGCCCGGAAGGCGCCTTCAATCTCAGCGATAGGGCAGACGGACTGAGGAAAGACGGAGTGGATGAAGCCCTTGTCCAGAAGCCAAGAAACCTTATCCAGCAACTGATGCATCAACCGAGGCCTGTAAGCAGCGACCTTAGTAAGATCGACTGAGTGGAACGAGAGGTTGTTCTCGAAAGGTAGCATGTCCAGGCGCGTATTCTTGGTGATGTCCGCCTTGCCGATCTCAATGAATCGGCCAAACGGTGCGAGACACTCCCAGCTTTCGCGGAGAAGATCCCCAGCGAGGGAGTTGAGTACTATATCGACCCCGCCGCATGTGAGCTCGCGAATGCTGCGGCCAAAGGACGCATCACGACTGTAGAAGATGTGGTCTGCACGGAGACCGTACTTTGAGATAAGGAGGCTCTTCTTCTCGGCGCTTCCAACGGTTGCGTAGATCTCGGCTGAGGCAATTTGGGCCAGCATAATGGCTGCCTGCCCGACACCACCGGCGGCGGCGTGGATGAGAACCTTCTCGCCGACTCCGTGTTGGAGACGGGCAAGCTCATAAAGGGCATAGTAAGCAGTGCAGAAGACGACAGGTACGCTGGCGGCAACCTCGAACGAAAGGTTTTCGGGGATGGCAGTCGCGCTGGTTGCCTTGCAGCGGGCGAAGGTAGAGTATGCGCCAAGAGGCAGAGCCATAACTCGCTCGCCAATCATCAAATTGGTAACCTTCTTGCCAACAGATGTGACGACGCCACTGCACTCAATACCAATGTAAGGCTGGGTGAGTTGTCCCATGGTGACGGCAACATCCTTGAAGTTGAGACCGGTAGCATGGACCTCGATTTCAATTTCATCGTCAGCCAGGGCTTTGACATCATCATCTGTAAAGTAAAGGGTATCAAGAGCGCTGTGGCTTCCTATTTCAAGCTTGAAGCGGCGGCCGGGTTGAACGAATGGTTGTGTTTCAAGAGTGAGATCGTCACTAGTCTCCTTCACCACAAAGGCATCAAGAGCGTTATCGTTTATGATACGAGGGACCATAAGCTCGCCATTCTTGGTCTTAAATTCGAAGTCCGTACAGGGACTGAAGGATTCCTCGGTCGGCCACAGGGCCTTCATAGCAGCCAAGATAGGGCCAGCTGGCCTCTCCAGATCTTCAGCGCTCAGTCCAAGGGTGGCAACTTTGGCATCAGTTTCGGAACGCAAGCTACGGATGAGGCCAACGATCATCTGGGAATCAGGAGTGTCGTCGCGGTAGACCCAAATAAGGTTTGTTGAGCTGAGAAGAATCTGCTGAACGTTGGCAAAGTCTGCCTCAGTAAGATCACGCAGGGTTTCGACTGCAGTCTGCAGGACAATAACATGCTGCCGTTTCTGCTTCGCGTTACAGTCACTCAATGACGAGATGGATGTTGACCAGCGAATGGCTTTGGTGGAGATGACATCTTGCACTTGCTCGGCTGCAAGTGCGCAGTCGCCAAATTTGACAATAAGGATATCGTCTTGGGGTTTGTTATGATGGCAGTGGATTCCATGTCCGTATCCATTGACGTGTTCAATGGCGTGTGGTTTGCTATGGCCATTGGGTTGTTTTGTCTGGATCGCTTCTCCAGTAGTCACTTGTTCGACTTTACTCAAGGGCTTCCACTGCAGCTGATAGCATAGGTCCCGGGCCACCTTGTTATCGCATCCAGTATCATTGATTGGGGTCATTACCAACCCCTCCATATTGATCAAAACCTCACTAGAGTCTGCAGGAGTCATCCATAAGTCGAACTTGGTAGGTTCGGGCCTGGCCCGGCCGGAACCTCCCATACACCTGGCCGGAAAGTGGTGACCGGTAGAAGGAATGTTTCCATCAATGACAAGAGACTTTATGACGGTTGGCACGTACAGAGTCTCCAGGTCCATCCGACCCTTACCAAGAATGGGCCAGGTCAGGTGCAAAAGAGTGTCCAATAGAGTGGGGTGGATGACAACGGGAGCTTCGTAGTGTTTCGGCATGAGTAACTTGGTATCGCAAACATACAGGTCCGCACGCGAGTGATGAGGCCCGGAGAAGCAGTTTCGAAACCCTTGAAATGCCATACCATAACCGGCGCCGACGTCGCTTAAAACTTTGTACATGTTCTCGGTATCAATTTCATATGTCGCCGCCTCCAACACCTCACTACTCTTCTTCGCAAAAGCCCTCTCTGCCTTGTCGACAACGTCAACGACCGGGTTATGCTTCCGGTACTTTTTGTTGGGGCTAACCCTGACAAGACCCGTACAGTGGTCAATCCAGTGCCGCTTGGAGTTCCAAGAGCAAATGTGGAATTCGTCCCACGCATTTGAAGCACCTCGCGTGCCTTCAGCGTAAGGCCGGAGGGTAATGGTGATCTCGGTATCGAGGTCGTCAGTCAAGACCAGGGCAGCACCCACGCTCACTTCGCGCAGTTCGAACTGCGACTCGGCGGCCACCGTACTATACTTCTGTGCACGCGTCCGAGCGGCCTCGATCGCCATACTGATGTAACCAGCAATTGGATACACAATCATACCCTGCATTCTATGGTCTCGGAGCCACGGTATGTCGTCGAGGCGGACAATATTCCTCCATGTTGGCTCCAGGTCATTGGAGTAGAATGCTTCGGTACCCAGTATGTCGTTTCTCTGTCCATCACGGAATCTATGCTTCTCGCTGATACGGCTATGGTGCCAGAAGACTGTGTCATGTTGCCACGGGTACCGAGGTAGATCATCGAGGACATTGCACGTTCCAGTGCCATTGAAGGGAAAGTTGATTTCGTTGATGTTGAGAGTTCCGCCACGTACATAAACGGCACCCGCGGCGTCGAGGAGAGATTGGGAAGGATCAACCTTCCGAACCACCGTCGGCACATATGCGACTTCAGAAGCAACCGATGACCCCAGGGCCTTTAATGTATCAAGAATTGGTCCCTTGAGAGCGGAATGGGGCCCAACCTCCACCATAAGGTTGGGTTTGCTCCCGACACCGCACATTTTGCCAAGAGCATTGACAAAGAGCACCGGAGACGTCAAGTTCTGGACCCAATAGCTTGGGCTAAGGTCGGTAGGATCGCTTACATCACCAACTACGGACGAAAAGAAGGTGGCAGTGGCCGCGCCCGAGGGCTGCACTGATGCGATGGCGGACAAATAGGCCTCGCTGACCTTTTTCATGTGATCAGAGTGGTAAGCCACATCAATGATGAGGCGGCGATTGAAAATCTTCTTCTCTTCGAGGATGCCCTGCAGCTCCTCAATAGCCGGTACATCACCAGATATGGTGACACTGGATGGACTGTTGACGCATGCCACAGTAGCATAACCAGAGTAGAGGGTCTTCAGCATTGGCTGGATGGCTTCCACGCTGGTCCCAACGGCCATCATGGTACCCTTCAGGTCTGGATATTGGCTTTTCAACAACTCTGTCATTTGGCCACGGCGGTACGCAAGTGTCAGGGCGCCCTCTAGGTCAAAGATCCCGGCCGCATACGCCGCAGCAATTTCACCGGAACTATGGCCAACTACCGAGACCGGTTGAATTCCCCAGGAGCGAAGCAAGTCCACAAGGGCAATTTGCAGCGCAGTGCAGGCCGGTTGACTGATGTAGGGCATATTAACCCTTGAATTTGTATCAGTTTGCAGCAACTCCTCGCGGAGAGAAAATTCTGCGCCCAATCCTTCAGACAGGTGTTTGTCGGCGCGGTGGATCGCCGCTGCGAAAACGGGGAATTCATCCATGAGTGGCATACCCATCTGAGCCCACTGGGCTCCCTGACCTGTGAAGACAAATGAAACAGAAGGTCCGTCACCGCCAATAGCGCGGACAGGGTTGATCTTCATCTGTGCCAGTTGGACACCGGCATCATCGAGTGATGTAGCGGACAGGGCAATTCGGTATGGCAGGTGAGACCGTTTGCTCCCAACTGTGTATGCAAAGTTGCCGAACAAAGTATTCTCGAAGACTTCGGGGCGTTGCTCGAAGTAAATGCAGTATTCCTTGCATCTGGTGCGGAGGGCCTCTCGGTCGTGTGCGGAGATCAAGAGCAACCGGCGTTTGCCCTCCTTGTCTTTAGTGCTAGTCACTTCTTCCTGCGGCACCTGCGATGGTGCTTTTTGTAAGACGACGTGTGCGTTTGTACCACCGAAACCGTAGTTGGAAACACTGATGTATCGTTTGCCGCGGGGCCAAGGACGCGTCCTGTTGACGACTTTCATATGCCACTCTGCAAAAGGAATCTTGGGATTAGGATTTTTGTATCCGGCGTTGGGGAGGATAAGTTCTCTCTCGAGCATCATGGCAGACTTGATAACTGATATGATGCCACTGGCACCTTCTAGATGGCCGACGTTCGTCTTGACTGATCCGATGTAGAGCGGGCTTCTCGCGTTGCGCCCCTTTCCGAACACTGCCTGGATCGCGGTTGCTTCTATTGGATCACCGACAGCGGTTCCTAGACGATACTTATGTTAGCTATGGACCCAGTGAACGACGGTCTCGTGCATCTACAACCTGTGCCGTGGGCTTCAACAAAGCCACAGTCAGCCGGGTTCAAGTTTGCTTCCTTGTATACCCGCCGAATCAATTCTTCTTGTGCCACACCATTGGGACATGTGATTCCCCTTGTCTTGCCGTCCTGGTTAACTCCTGAGTGGGCAATCAAAGCCCGGATGGGGTCGCGATTACGCAAAGCTGCGGAGAGGCTCTTCAGCATAATTATACCTGCGCCTTCACCCCGCGCAAAGCCCGAGTTTCCTCTCTCCTCAAATGCGAATGATTTCCCTTCGTCGTTTAGTAACCTGTCGCAATCTGAAGGTCAAAATCATGCAAACCATCACTAATGGATATCGGGCTTAAACAGGTAGTTACTCACTGTTGCATCGACATCGTGATGGAGTTCTCGGGGGTCAAAAGCAGATGGCAACCACCGACAAGCGCCTCGGTGCACTCTCCGCTCCGCAAACTTTGTACAGCGGAGTGCAAGGCCACAAGGGAAGACGAACAAGCGGTGTCGACCGTCAAACTCGGACCCTTCAGGTCAAACATGTAGGAAATTCGGTTCGACTGGAGCGCAGGGTATCCTCCAGTGGCCTGGAACATTGGGGCCGTCTCCGTATCGCGGATATTGTTCGTCTCGTAGTCGGGCCAGTTTGCTCCAATAAAAACCCCGATGCTACGTCCGGCCATGTATTCTCGCGAAATCCCGGCGCTTTCCATGGCTTCGTATGTACATTCTAGCAGGAAGCGCTGCTGTGGGTCCATAGATATGGCCTCCTGGGCACTGACATTGAAGAAAGGTGCGTCGAACCGGGAAACATCACCGAGAAAGTAGCCACCAGCCTGATTACTGGTGCCCGGTTTCGAAGCATTCGGGTGGTGAAAGGCCTCGACAGACCAGCGGTCCTTGGGTATGGGCGTCCAGCCGCTGCGCCCTCTTGTGCAGAGCTCCCATAGATCACTCGGCGACGAGACCTCACCAGGAAGTCGGCAGGAGTATCCAATAATTGCAATTGGCTCCAGAGCCGGTGTTTCCGTCGGAGGTGGTGACCCATTCATATCTACTGCCGTGTCACAAGCTGGAGACATGATGATTGTAACAAGTCAGTTGTGACAGAGAGATTGAACTGTTAAGAATTACAAAGGAGGGGGATGCAAGAGGCAGAGAGGGGGGGGGTGCAAAAACAAGCAAATATGCAAGGGATGTAGTAATAGCGAATAGATGGATGCAGTGCCTGGCTGACGGCAAACACCTCGCGACAGGCTCATTAATCAGAGTAGATCATCGAGCGCACTGCATGGGATGTCTAGGGGCCGAGAGAAATACGTAGGCCCGTAAACCTACTCAAGAGCCATCGACGATGGTGTGGAAGACAGTGGTAGTAGTGTGACGCCACTGAGGCATCGGAACGTGGAGGAAAACCAACGGCACGCAGCGAATGTCTTCTGTGTAGCGTTTCTTTCAGCATTCTTCTTTGTTATTTGGTCAACTGATGAATCCAATTGGCTATATATCCTGTTTCATGCTTGTGTATGCAATGTGTGCTTATTGGGATACATCAACCGACTCTGTCACGATATGATGCATGGGCCTAATGCATCATGTCGAGTAACTCGGAGACACTACCCTAATTGCCAATGACTTCCCAGTTTAGGGGTCAGCACACCTTCCCCACATTCTCTGGCGAGCAGATAAGTATGCCAGCTCTCAACAATTGATTCTTTTCTTTTTGCTTGTCTTCTTACATCTCATCTATGAATAGTATAACCAATCATCCCAAACACTTCTGACATGCATTTCCTCTGCCTTCACGGCGCCATCGGCAACACCGAGGTGAGTGTTCATAATTGGCAATATCATGCTAAGCGAATGGGTTATAATTCTAACAAGCACAGACTATCACTATTCAGTTAGGTACTTGCAGTCCTTGATCTACAAATTGTCCTTGCGACTTGTTATCTTATTAACGACAAGCAACTTACAGCACCACTATTGAAGGAGTTAATCACCGACAGCTCAGCAACAACCTTTCACTATCTCAACGGTCCTCTCCTGGTTTCCCCTCCCCCGGGATTCGAGGCGTATTTCGGTGTGGGACCGCATTACCGGTGGATTGATGACGGCCAAAAGCCCGGAAAGTCCACGATTCGGCGCGTCCGGGACCTGCCAACTAGCGAGAACAATGATGATGCCATGAGGGAGGTCTTAGGGGATGTACACTGTCGAAACTATGCGGATCTCATGGATTACATTGAGGGTGTCCTGGAGAAGAACCCAGAAATCGGCGGGATGATCGCCTACAGCGAAGGAGCTGCGGCAGCTGCGACGTATATTCTCGATGAACAACGTCGACATCGCGAAGACGGCCGCGAGCGCCAAATCAAGTGTGCCATATTCGTTGGAGGCTGGCCGGCCATGAGGCGAGACACGAAGGGGTTCATCCTTGCAGATGACGGCGGGGATGAAATGATCGACATTCCCACGCTTCATGTCCTAGGGGCGAACGGTAGCGACAATCCTTTCTCTTATTTACTCTGATTTTTCAATTTCAGGTTTCAGCTAACTTTATTTATCATTCAGACCCTTACCGATATGGCTCGGAAGCACTCTTTGAAACCTGCGATCCTGATGCAGCCGAGTTCTTTGATATGGGCAAAGGCCATACTCTTCCACGGTCGGGGTTGGTGATCAGTGAATTAGCGCAGTCAGTGCGGGACTTAATCAAAACGACGGAGTAGTCGAAGGGATAACTTAAGTAAGGGGTTGGGAATTTGTATTTCTATCTAAGTTTCTACCCCTTGCGTGTATATGACCACTGTGATGGGCCCGATCTGCTGGTGAGAAACGTGATCTAGCTCGTATATAATTGACTTCGAGACGTGCAGCCCGAGGAAGGGGTACACGCGTATGATGAAGGCTGTAGAATCGTATTTGCACCGACTGCGCTTTTAGTGGCAAACACCCCCACCCAGGAACTTCCTTCTCCATCTACAGAAAAATGCGATTTCTATGCCTCCACGGCTCCATAACCAGTGCTGATGTAAGTCGTAATTTGCTCTGCGAAGAATACTGTACGCCACTGTACTGATATAAAATCGCAGACACTCAGTGCCCAGTTAGGTATGAGAACAATTGCTCTCAGGGAGGCTCTCAACCCTTAACTCATGTATGACTAGGGCCTTTACAGAAAAACCTGGCGGCCGATAATACCGCTTCATTTTATTGCGTGAATGCGCCACATGCAACAACTGCCCCTGAAGGTGCGACATAAGTTCGCCACATTAATCTATGAATCGACTGAGGTATGGCTGACAGAGCCCAGGCTACATAGAATATTTTGGTCACCCACCCCACTACCGCTGGCTTAATTACGTTGGCGTTGGTATTGATGCCATCTACGACACTGTCCGCGGGGCGCGAAGCAAACAACATGCTACTCCAGAGGATACCTTTCGATCGCTTATACCTCCTGAGCTTTCCTGGGTCAACCATGAAGATGTTTTGAAATATATTGAAGAGACACTGGAGAGGAATCCCGATATTGAGGGTCTCCTGGGATACAGTGAAGGGGCGACTGTTGGGGCGGCATATATCTTGCGCGAACAGATGAGGGAGCAGGAGACCGGCCGCACGCGGCAGATTAAGTGCGCGATCTTTCTCGCTGGGGTTCCCCCAGTCAAAGCGGAGAATGGATTTATATTTGCCGATGAACAAGAGGAGATGATCGATCTCCCCACTGTCCATATCGTTGGCGCAAATGGTGTGTTTCCCTTGTGATATATGGGCATGTTTGACCGTTGGCTAATGGCTCGCTTTTGCACGAATAGACCCTTTTAGGATAGCCGCGGACTGTCTATACAACATTTGTGATCCTGATAGCGCTTACTTCTTTGATACTGGCAAGGGACATACCATTCCACGTGGAGGGCCAGTGATCGATGAGTTGGGAGACACAATTCGAGAATTGGTTCAGAGAACAAAGGAAGGGTTATGAGTAGATATACAAATTATGTTGGGAACATTTTTGTAGAATTAAGGATCTATACTAAATTGAGCGATGATGATCAGTGACGCCAATCACAAGCTGTCCTTTAACAGAACTAAGAATATATACGACCACCATACATTGATTTCAACCCTTTAGTCATGATAACCAAAGACTCCTAGCAAAACTTGTTCTCCTACTTTCGCATAGTAGTATTTGTAGCGATTTTCTCTTCTAATAATCTTTATGGCGCTTTAAATGGAAATACAAATAATGAATTGGGGTTGCTTATAGCAAGGCAATATATTCCATGTCTTTTCCTTTCAGGGCGATACGATTTTTCCCAGATATGAGGTGGTTTATTAGAATATCTCGGAAACTTTTGCACGTTTTAGGCTATATGACCTATCAAAGAGGCGGCTTAGATTAATAGGTGGAGGTTCTGGCCATGTGCGAGGAAAACTTTGACGCTTTGGTCTTTGGGGAATTTCTATGATCATACGCAGAATTCCGACATGCAGATGAGCATGGAAAATTCATTCGGGAGCCCACTGCCATGTTTGAGTGGGGCGAAAATTATAGGGCAAATAATGTCTTATCTCCCCTAATTTAGCCAATTGACTTAGCGTACGAATAATGGTTGCTACAATGTCGATCGCTGTTCATTATAAATCTAGCGCAAGCGCCATAATAACCCCCATGGATGAACCATTCCGTTTACAGTACAGCTTGACAGACAGGGCGTTGGTCCCACAACCAATGAGCGACTGATCGAACACTCACGTATAGCCGCCTAAGATTCATATATATAATCTATATTATGCATGTACAGCTAATACACGTTAGAGAGCATGGCTCAGCCTGCTTAAAACCTAAAGTCGGACGTTCCATCGATGTTATCAGCAGCCAGGGCTGAAGCTCGGAGGGATTGGAGGCGTAAGCACTAGCGCGAGCTAATCATGACTCGCCCAAAAATTGGCTTGGGCAACACAACATTTAGCGTGTAACGTGGGCCTCGTGTTAATTTTACGCTCCCTATCGTGACCCCTAATATATATTGGTAGCCGCTTATTATATTGTCCGTTGTAAGTGTCTAGTGTCTATTGGCTGAAATGAACACCCCCTGGCCAAAACTTGCACCTCCACCCCTGTCTGTTCGGATAGCGATGGTTGTTCGCTCGCCTTTTTGTGCGCGGAAGCAGTTTAAGTAATAAACTGCTGGGAAAATCTCGTAGCCGTCCAATCACACATGTGACTTAAAAATTATTTAGCTTGGTTAACCATTCTTATGCGGCCTTCAAGTACCTGCATGACTAAGACGAGATGATCTGGCCGAAGTTAATAAAGATCTCAAGGCCCTGGGCATACAAGTGCTAAGAATATTATTGAGTTTGATATACGGACATAGGCATTTTGCTACCTCTCAATATCTTGTATCTGCACCGATAGGGTAGAATTTGGCCAAGTGGCAATCGGACCTTTTTACATGACAAACCTTACAATATGAGAAGCAGCATATCACGGCCAATATACTGCCAGGAATATAAAAGGACATTGTGCAGTTTGGGGCTGAATATTCACTTGTCCATGGTAAGGGGGTGTAGCAGGTCTCAGGTTTGTTAGGTGGCGTCGACCAGGATCCGAGAAAAGGATCACACGAAAAAGCCATTGAGGCCATGCACAGAGTCTCATAATTACCACTATAGTGCTTGATATTATTATAATTATCGTTAATATTATCCCGGTTTCAACTCAGCTCGTATGGCCCCACCCGGCTTGTGGAGGTAGAGGGCATTTCGTGCACCATCCCCGTGACGCTTTCTGTCGGCAGCTCGGAAACCGTCCGCGCTCCCGGAGAGACACTTTGGTACTCCATGGCCTGAGGGCCTCGGGTTATCCGGCGGCGTAGGAAGAAGATCACTGCTGCTGCAATAGCACCAACGCCTACCACAGCGCCGATTACAGGGCCCGCAATCCACGCTTGGCTCTTTCCGGAAGAAGATGTGGATGTTGAAGACGGTGAAGCGGTCGAGGTTTGGGTCGCGGAAGAGGTTTTTGTGGCCATGGAGGTGA